TACTGAATTCTGAAACCTGGGCAGCAACTGTAACAAGTCACAGAATTCGGCTAACAAATCTGTGGTGATCTTAATCTCTGTTTCTGTAATAAAAGGAAGACTGCAGCTTTGTTTACTTTCTGAGGAGAATAGAGAACAGGGAAAAAGGACCAGGATAGGAGGCAGTATTTACTACCCCTTTATGAACAGTCAATCTGTGACAAAAACATTTGCAGACAATAAGGAAGGGGAACAGGTTTGGCAGGAAAATAGCCTATTCCAGTTTTCTCAGAAGTGCCTTAGCTGGTAACCTCCACTCCAGCCCAATGTGAAATGCTTGGTTTACACTGCAAATATAGTCATTCCCTATAGACAAATCTGGATTAGATAAAATGAAAAAAAAAAAAGTCAAACCAATCTTCAATATCTGGCTTTCATGACTGACAGTACCTTATTTATTTCATTTTATAAAGTATTTATAACATTTTATGAAGTTTCAAGTCCCTTCTTTAACTGCATTTCTAAACCTGAGGCTTGTCCTAAAAGCTTTTGGACATTCAGGCTCTGTGCCGAATGAGTATAATAAGTAGCCTAGATTCACCCTATTATTAAGGGGGAATGAAGGGCACATCTCTAACCTTACAGAAGGGATGATATCATAGAAGACAGTCATGGTCTTCCATTAACCATAGTGTAGGGCCCCTGTCAAGGACAGAGTCGTAAATTAAATAGACTATGGAGTTAACTCCCAAAATACACTCATTCTCAATAGTATCTCATAATTGTTTGCCATTCTCAGTTAATATTTTTATTCCATTGTCTATATTTTTGCAATATGTGTAGTCATATTGGGCTTTTTATAGTATTTAAGTCCTCAGAGGGTAGATACTGGGTCTATGCTGTTTTCTTTCTACCTGGTACAATGCCACGCATAAAGAGTATGTACTGTAAAAGTCAGGGTGAACAGTGGCGTACATGATAGGATTTAACAAGCATTCCAAAGGGTGCTTCTTGAATACTTATTTTGACATGGGGCTACTCTTCTCTCCTCTCCTTACATGTGTTAGCACCAGTATCCCCTCCTTAAGGCTTAGGCAGGAATACCAAATTCAGAAAGACACTGCTAGAACATTGCCTATTTTGGGGGCCAGCAGGTAGCATGGTGGTTAAAGTGCTGGATCCCACATGGCCAACTCTCAAGTTCAAGTTCCAGACCCAGCAACCTGAAAAACACACTTTGTGTGTGTGTGCGTGTGTGTGTGTGTATGCACATGCCCAAAAACTCTGAGAGAAAAATAGAGGGCAAGGAATTGCAGTGTGGTCATCCCCCTGGAAGGTGTTTTCTCACTTTTCCTCTCTCTCTGCCTCTCCCTGGTGAGTGCACACTCCATATGACAAAATATCTATAAACAACAACAACATTGCCTGTTACCTAAAAGGATGGAATGAGTCCTCCCCTATTAACACAATGATGAGTTGTTTCATGAGATTAGCTCTTTGTCACTTGAAAAGATTAGGACCCTGAACCTGAAGGTTTGACTGGTGAGATAGACTGGGAAAGGTTAGAACAGGGCTATGTTTAGTTGGAGCTAGCCAGGGTGATAAACATCCTAGGAGTTGGGACATGATACTAAGAGAGGTCCTATGGCTTTAGACAAACCCACAGGATGTATACCAACAGTGAACTCTAATGTAAACTGTGGACTTTGAGTGATAATGGTGTGTCAATGGAAGTTCATCAGTTGTAACAAATGCACCACTCTGGTGGGTGATGTTTATGATGAGGGAAGATTTGTATGTGTAGCATAGGAAAGGTATTGATGATCTTTATACCTTCTGCTCCACTTTTCTGTGAACCTAAAATTGCACTAAAAATAAATTTCATTTAAAAGAGAGAGAGAGAGAGAGAGAGGTCCTAAAGTGAATAAGCAATGAAAATAAACTTAGTTTGCTCTTTCAACTACAACTTACTCTGCATTTAACAGTTTTTTTTTCAATGAGAGGGGAAATGTGATGATTATAATTTCTATTCATGTTTTATTCACTATTAGCTGTTACTCTACCTTCAATTATGCAAATACCAAACCAACGGATCCCTTATCTTGTTTTCTGCTTACAATACTCCCTTGTCCCTTCACCAGTGTGGATTTCTTATGTTATAATCTAAAAGCATAATCAGAGGCTTTGAAACAGTGGAACATAGAGGGATCTTGATTAGCTTAAAGCCACTCTAAAATACTTTCTGCTTTGTTTCTCCCCTCTTGGAAAGGATGAGACAATAGAGGAAAAAGAACAGGATAAAGAAAGCAATCATTCACAGAATTGTGATCTATGGAATCCAGAAAGACATAGAAGGTCCTGTAATCAGTCCAACCCCTCATTTCTTAGGTAAGAACACTTAAGCTGAAAGGCTAAATGACTTATTCATGTTCATATTACCAGTTAATGAAAAGCCACATATGGAACCCAATTTTGCAACTCACATTCCAATGTTCTTTCTTTTCATTCCTTATTCTTCTTCCCCAACCTCCCACCTCATTCTACTGTCTTACAACTGAATTTAACCAGTACTCTACATACCTTACAAATAGCACCACTCTTTTCCACAAATGGAATACTCAGCAGGGATTACATTGCTATGGTATGCTCACTATACAAGTACACTTTCCTTGAAGGAACCCAATACTTTAAGAAATCCAAATATTTGGACAGTGAGGGGTTACTCATAAAAAAAAAAAATTCTTCATTTACATTAAGATTCTCCACAGTCTCTCTCTCTCTCTCTCTAAGAGAGATTTTTTTGTTATAGGGCACATGTGCTCACCTGAAAGACAGAAATCAAGAAATCACGCCCCCAGGGGGATGACCACATCACAATCCCTTCTCTCCCATTCTCCTCTTGGGATCTTGGGCAGGCATGCACACATGCCCAGCATGAGTTTTAAGCCACTGGGTCCAGGACTCAGACTGTGATCAGCTACGTGGGAGTCCAGCGATATAGCCATTACATCATCTGCTGGTCCCATCTCCACAGTCTCTTAAATAGGAATCCTTAGGTGGGATTAAGATATGAGATCTTAATAAAATTATTTTACTATGTAAAATAAAATAAACTTGAACCATCACATTTATCTGTCATACAAATAAGATTAGAACTAGACTATCAGGCTCTATACAGAATTAGAAACATTTCTATTTCTAGTCACTGCCCATGAGGAATCCTATATTTTACCTGTCCCTGTTGAAGCCCTATTATCAGCTCTTCAACAAAATCAACACAAAACTTAATGTTATGGCAGAAGTTTGGTACTCTTCAGAAACAGAGAGAAATAACATCTTTCTTTTATTATGTTCACTTACGAAGAGGTCAACTCCTGTTCTAAGCTCTGCTCTATGATTTCATATAGGTAGCAATTTTTTAAAACCTTACATTTGTTTTTTGTTTTTTTTGAGAGAGATTTTCACTGTAGGGCGCGTGCGCTCGCCAGACAGAGAGAGACATAGAGACAGAAAGCGAGAAATCACCCCCCAGGGGGGATGGTCACGCCGCAATCCCTTCTCCTCCATTCTCCTCTCGGGATCTTGGGCACGCATGCACACGCGCCCGGCGTGAGTTTTAAGCCACCGGGTCCGGGACACGAACCGTGGTCGACTACATGGGAATCCAGTGACATAGCCATTACGCTAACTGCTGGTTCCCTAAAACCTTACATTTGTTTTTCATGAGTGAGTATTATTACACAGTGTACATGTTCCACATTTTTTTTCAATCCATTTATCTGTTCTTGAACATTTAAGTTGATTCCATGTCTTAGTAATTGTGAATAATACTGCAATAAACATGGATGTGTAAGAGTTTTTTTAAACTGTTTTCCTATCCTTTTGGTAGATGCTCAAAAGTGGGTTGTATGGTAGTTATATTTGTATGTTTTTGAGTAACTTCCATACTGTTCTCCACAGTGGCTGTACTAATTACCTTTCCACAAACAGTGTAGGAGGGTTCCCTTTTCACCACAGCCTCACCTGAACTTATCATTCTGTATTTATTTAGTCTTAGCCATTCCAATATTTGATGCAAAGTGGACAAATATGGAAGCTCTAATGCTAAGTAAAGCAATCCAGACTAAAAGTTAGACATTGTATGTCCTCGCTTAATATATACTGAATGTCTACACTCTATGGCAGAAACGGAAATATTGGGGAGGTAATTGTAGATGCTAAAGACAGTATAAAAGGGAGTAGGTAATGGGAGTGGGGAGTCAGGGGGAAAAACAAAAATTAAAAGTTATCTGTTGATGATAATGTATATGGTAATATCTTTGACTTGACTAATATGCAATGTATTCATGCTGGGAAAAACCATTTCGTACACTGTAAAGATATACAGAGATTAAATGTAAATTCAAACACTTAAAAAATGAAAATGAATTGGGTAAAACCCTATACTTGTAATGACGCTTTACAATTCAGAGACAACTTTAACATAGATATCATTTGTTGATTACAAGAATAAATGGGAAGGACAGGCAGAGTGCCTCATATAGATAGGAATAAGGGCAGGAGGTAAAGGAAGAAAAGGCTAGGAAGAGGAGAAGCAGTCCTAATAATATTGTTTCAGAAACAATATGGACGAATCTTCACCCTACCCCAAGAGTCCAGGAATCCCAACTTCCCTGTGATACTCCAGTAACCTCTTTAAGGAATAATACTGTCCAGTTTTATAAGGGGGGAGGTACATTTCATGTCTGATTCTCATACTGCCTGCTGTTTGGAAATGAGAAGGAATTTCCCCTTGGACTATTGTCTACTCCCATCACCATTGCCCATGTATTTATGTGTAAATCACAGATATCTGTCACTTTTCTTGGAACAAGCATCCTAAAGGAATGAGTCTTACTAGAACCACCATTCAGTCATCCATTCTAAATGACTGAGCTACACTCTAACAACAATGAAGTTCCCCCAAAAGGATCACCCAATCCAAGTCCTCTGAAAGAATCACCAGTGTTTCTGTTACATACCTCAACTTGTTGGCAGATCTGTATTAGTTTGGCCATTTGATTTTCTAGTTCACTGTTGCGTTTAACCAGGTTGGTGAGGTTCATCTCCAGAGTTTGCTGTCATCGAAGAGTGTGAAGCCAGAGGAAAATAAGGAAGAGGAGAAAAAAGAACAGTGAGCTTGAGAAGCAACATTATGTGAAGATTAGTCAGTTGACAAATACTGCAGATTCACTGAATAACTGCTATGGATCAAGCACTGTTCTACATGCCAAGTACTTCAGGAGGTCATGATCAGAGAAAAGATGACATTCATGACATTGTGAATTTAGGAACTTATTGACATTAAAGCAACCGTATATTTTCTATAATACTTTTGGCTTTTCAAAGTATTTCACAGTCAATATCTCATTTTGTCCTCATAGTTGTCCTATGGCACATGAAGAACAGGTATTATTATCTCTTTTACAGATGGGTAGACTAGGAAAACTATAATTTATTGAATGATTACTACTTGCCAGATACTATGCCATGAAATTTAATATATATTATTTAATAATTACAGCAATCCCACAAAGTAGGAGATTTGTTTTAACTGATGAGACAGCCAAGCTTCTGAGTGGGGTTAAAGTATTTTCGATACTCATATAACTAGTATGCAGACGAGTTGGGACTGGAACCCAGGTCTCTATTGGTCATAGTTTTGCCCCACTGGTCCACAATTTTCTTTTTGTCTTTTTATTGCTAATATTGCATACTTACTGGTGTGTTCCTTCAAAAAGGAGAGAGAGAGAGCAATGTTTTTAGAGAGATTTTTGCTATAGGGTGCATGTGCTCACCAGAGAGACAGAAAGCAAGAAATCACCCCCCAAGGGGAATGGCCATGCTGCAATCCCTCTCCTCTATTCTCCTCTCGGGATTTTAGTCATGCATGCACACGCACCCAAGTGAGTTTGAAGCCACCAGGTCCAATCGCAGTCGAACCACAGTCAACCACGTGGGAGTCCAGTGATGTAACCATTACATCAGCTGCGGGTCCCGAGAAAGAGTATTTTGAGTGTGAGATTCATTAAAATTTAGAATTATTTATCATAATTTTCCTTCTCTGTCACTGAAACATTGTCCATGGAGATGACCAGCTTCAAAATGCAAAGTCTGCCTGTGTCAAGAAAGGATTGTTTACCACCCCTTGCTGGTACATAAATTATTTTAGATATGCATTGGAGGTACTTCTCAGACTTTTTGAATATGATGTTACAATGGTACTCGGAACTCTAGCATATTTTCAGTTGAGCAAGTTACTCTCTCTCATTACTTATGTAAAAAATAGAATATTATTTTATTTAAAATTAATTAAGGGTTTTTTAGTTCTATCCCATCCCCAAGTCTTTAGCTCTGGTGGCTGTTTTTCCTTCAGGACTTGTCCCAATGTCTACTCTTTCACCAAACCACCAAAATAGCCTACAGTCTGTTCCAAATGTAATACCTCAGATTTTTGGCTCTTATTCTGTACAATGCCTTCCCTCAGTCATGTTTATTGCTTTATTGCTATTGCCATGGTTCTTACAGCTTCTAGTTGTTCAAAGTTCATACTTTCGGAAGAGTGCTTGGGATGACCTGGGGAGGTGGAGGGACATGAAGAGAGAAAGAGGACTCATATACTTGGTTCATTTCTTGTCTACTAAGTAGCTTTGGCTCCTTAACATCCTTGGCACTCTAACATCTTCTGGAATATATTCACATAGATATGTATAATTCTAGGCTGGGTAGTCTGATTTAACTTGTTTTCAAACTGGATTATGGGGACCAGCTTAACCCTTGCTTCCCTTCTTTTCAGATTTGTCTTGTTTTCTTCTCATGGAAGTTTTTCCACAATTTATTCCATTTTTCTTGGCTTGAGACACAGTGTCTCTGTTGACCATCTTTAATCCCTCTACCATCTCAATCTAAGGTTTTAATAGTAAAGAGGGAGGAAAGAGGAGAAAAGGAAGGGCAGCAATTATTGATTTGGATATGATCTCTAAGCTAAATAGATGACAGGTGGAAAAAAAAGAAGTAGCAATTCAGATATTTATACAACAAAGATGTATAGGGCATATAATCCATCCAAGGCATAATGACTTCACAGATAAAGAAAAGAAGAAATTAAGATGGGCTTTGAAGGGTAAAAAGAATTTTAATAGACAGAGATGGAGGGAGGCAGAGTATTCTAGTCACAAAAAAATAGCATGGATAAATGTTAAATAACTTAGTTAATAACTGAATAACTATAAATAAAGTATAGGGCATATTCATGGAAAAAATAGTTTAGTTTGGCTAGAAAAAAAAGAACATAAAGTGAGTAGTGGGAGACAAAGCTGAAAATGGAGATTTAGGCACTGGGAAAGGAGTTTGTACATATATATATATATATTCCCTTTTTGAGCACTGGGGGACTTATCAGAGGCTGTTCAGTCAGGTGATAGCATAATGAGAACTTCAGAACTTCATTTAAGTGATTAACCTAGCAGTAATACGTGGGCAGACTGAAACAGGAAAGCCCAAGGGGCAGCAACCTTGACTAGAATAAGGCTGCAATATTCAAGGCAGTTGGTAATGCAGGTCTGGGTCAAGCAGAGAGAATAACTAAGAGAAATGTGTTTCAAGAAAGGAAACTGTCAAATATGCTGAGAGTGTGAGAAATACAAGGGTTGATAAAAGGTCATTGCATTTGATCATTAGAGGTCACCCATGACCTCTGAAAAAGGAGTAGGGTTTTTGAAGGTAGATGCCAAAACATACAGGATTAAAGGATACATTGGTAGTGACAAAATGGAGGCTGTAAGTCTAGACTCCTCTTTGAAAGTTTAGCAATAAGGTGAATATGATAAAATGGTAGTTTGATGAAAAATTCTAGCTTAAATTGGTAATGAATCCAAACAATTAATGATTTTCTCTAGCAGGGTGGTCCAAAATCCTAGATAAATGGACATTCCATGTATCACAAATTACTAAACCAACACATTATATAAATATAATGGGTATTGATGAGCCCAGAACAGATACAATATTAGCAATATGTATTTCAAGCTGTAATATGTTTTCATTTGAACATGGGATTCCATGGGGACAATATTTTTAACAAGTACATGTGACCTGTTGCAATGCTGGTCATGAAACTGATATCTCATAAATAATTTATAGGGCAAAGCAGGACTAAGATCCCTGCTGTGTGTTCCTCATTTATGGCTCAGAATTGAGACTCATAGCTTCTTTCAAGTCACTGAAAACAAAAATTAGGTTTGAACACATAATTTGGGCTCTGGTTAGACTATGGGTCTTGGGTTACCATCACAAAATTATGGCAAGTGGTTAGTTTGCTCTGGCCCTCTAGCAATTTGCAGAATACCAGTACATTTTAACAACACAGAACTAGAGCTGACAACATGACTCTAATTTCAACCTTACTTCATTAATATGAAAATGCTTTGAAAAATAAGTCTTTGGCTAATGAAAACACCATCTGTTGATGGCTTCTTGCCACTGTTTTCTTACATTATGAGACATAATTTGAGGAAAACACTGAACATTTACTTACTCATTTCCTATTCATTTAGAAGGAATTAAAGCCTCCTCTCAAATTGGAATTGATTCTTGATAATGAACATATGCAAAGGGAAGCAGAGAACTGAAGCAATTATGCAGTCTAAGGAAGTCATCCTGTCTTTATCCTGCCTCACACTGACGAATCACTTAGAACTAAAATTTCTGGGCCACTCAGAGTTTGAATGATTTGACTGACTTGGTCAAATAATTATGTTGTCTATACTCTAGCTGAGAAAACAAAGAGGATATGTGTATATTTGGGGTGTGCCTGTGTGTGTGTGTAATCTCTTCATGTAAAAGTAAATATGTCTCTTTGTCATTCAGTTTTGTAAAATTGGCTTGTTTTGCTCTATTCTTGTACAGTCCAGTTAATGACTGGGCCAGATTCCCTCTGTCCAAGTCCAGTTAGTGCAACTTTCTCAGACAGTTGAACTGTGACAGAAGAGAGCCAAAGTGGCAGGGGAGATTGGAATGGAGATATCTGCTGGGAGGAAACAGGGACAGGAGGTTGGCAGGGGGAGCAGGATGAAGCTCCCATTTCCTGCTGCAGGAGGTTACCTCTGGGTCCTTCTGTTCTTCCCCTTTGTGAGGGTTAAAGAAGTCATTTTAGCTTATGAAACAGAGATTCTCTTCACCTCTAGATGACTGTCACTCTAGCTCTCACAAAAGTGTGCATGTGTCTAAATGGCACAAAATGAGGGGAAGATTTGACTGGCTAGCATAATTGAGATTGTAAAAGGCCTGAGTTAGCTAAATTGGCAGTCTACACTGATTCCATTTTTACTCAGGTTCCACTTCATTTGTGCTGTATAGATTCAGCCTCTTTGTGCTCTGTTATACCCTTCCCAAAGAAGGACATGTTTTGCCATCTGAGAAAGCTGGGCATAGGCTATTCTTCCAAACAGAATCCCATGAAAAGAAATGACTTCTCTAACCCTCTCAAATAATTTGTTTTTATTATTGTTGTTGTTCATTTCTCTAGTCACAGATGATTTCAGGTAACTTTCTCATTGGTTCACTCAAGAAACCTAGCTATATTTCAAAACACCGGTTGTTCATTAAAGCAAGAAATACTACTCTTAGGGCACACACTGGGCCATGATCTCCATTTTCATGCTTCATGAAGACACATGTAGTCACACATATATGAGCACACTGTACATGCAGACCTGACACAGGAAATATTGAAATCTAAAAGAGGGTGCAGATTTTCTATTTATTCTGTTGAAACATGTAGTATTACCATTGAATGCCTATATTCTCTCATGCTTTCTAAAAGGTTCAAGGGGAATATTATCTAAATCTAGACAAGATACTGACTGCTTTGATGTGGGAACTGAACCTTGGGGCAAGGGAGGGAGAGAGAAGTGAAGAGGAAAGAACAGCTGATCCACCCCAAGCCTGAGTTTTTCCAATTGACAGAAGACAACTTCATCTTTAAAAATAATCTGAGCCACTGACCCCATTACTATTCTTTGGCATGCTCTTTTTTGACATCCTGTCTATACACCAACGTTCCCAGTTCTCCCGAAAG